TGACAGTGCACCCAGATTTGCAGTGCACCCACATCTGCAGTGTGTTTCCGAGGCAGCCGAGCAGCGCCGGCCTCGCTGCGGCCACCGGGAGCATCTGGGCCCGGCAGCCGCGGTGCCGCCAACTGCTCCTGCAAGGCCCCGTTTATGGATGCTTTACATCATAAAACACTTCGCATTTCTTTTTCTCCTCGCCCTTCTCCACCTGGAGTACATAAGGTTGTGCTCTGGCTCAGCGCTCCTCCCCTMTGCAGGCGAAACACTGAATAAATATTTTATATGGAGAAGGGGCATAAAGGAAGGGAGCAGCCTGGTTCCTGCCGCAAGCRGCCAGAATGGCGTTTTTTCTTCCTTTTTTTTTTTCAGGGAAAAGAGGCAGGTGAAGCAGCCCCAGGAGGTGTCGGTGGCCCCTCTTGCTGCGTCACCCGCAGCCCTGCAGCCCCGTGCGCCCTGAGCCGCGCGGAGCTCGCGGACCTCGGCGCTGGGAGCTGCACGAGCACCCGCCACAGCTCTGTGCTGCACAAGCATCCAGGGCGCCAGACGCCTCGGTCCTTTCACAGCTGTGCAAGGCRGAATGTGGCTTTTTGGACTCGTCCTAGTGTGCACGCAGTGATGTGAGTAAGGTCCGGTGAATAATGAGCTCTTCCCACGTGCCGTTTAGGCCAAGTAAAATATGCAACTGGGCCAGATGATTTAAAMTTTCCAGCTATAAATTGTAGATATTCACCAGCTGTATGCAGTAAACTGCAAGGGAAAGGATTTCTCTTGAGATCTTGTATTTGAACCTGTGGAAATAATGGCACTTTTCAAAACACACAGCTATAAACAAGAGGTAACGTAACCTAAGGATGCTCTCGTGRAGGGGGGAAAAGATGCACAGCGAGTGACAGTTACTTGGACAACTTTATTTATACTCCCACTCCCCAGTACCTGGGTGCTGGAGCTCTATTCCTTGTGTAAGGATTTCTCTTTCARGTTTCCCACACCATGCAGGAAGGAATTACATTGTTGTTCCATAATTAAAATCTGTCCACAAAAGCTGTAAACATTGTTGTGTCAAGTTTTGTTGCTRTTGTTATTGTCTCTTCCAAACACACACACAATACTTTTACAAAGGAATTTCTAGGTGACCTTTAGTATCTAGTTCCTGACTCAATCTCACATGCTTTTTGAAGCAAAAACACCTTGATGTGAATGTTTTCATGACTAGGATCTGGCAGAATCGTTGCATTCCCATAATTTCAGCTCCTATGGAGCCCTTGCTTAAAAAAAATGAACCACTGAAACATGCCCTGTAATGTCCCGCAGGGATGTCCAACCTTGGCAACGTGCAGTTCTTGGTCTGAGGTCCGCACACCGAACTTCTCCAGAGCTGGGACCTCTGCAGCATCTAATGCGCGTGTTTTGACAGGTCCATATGCCTGTGCTGTGCAGAGAACAGTCCTGGCACCCTGGGCATCTACCCCGCGGACGCCAGGCGTTCGATTGCTGCTTGTGCCTGTGAGGGTGCTCAGCACCTGAGCTGAAAGCAATCCTGCAATCTGCTAAGAGCTGCCAGCTCATGTAAATAGTCCCACTCAAATGCTGGTATCAACTCGGCCCGCGTGGCTTGGAGCGTGGCGGGGGTGAGCAGGTCCTGCTTTATCATTAAGACTCTTTCAAGTAATGCTTTTTTCGGGCTCACAAATAAATCAAGGAAAGCAGTAAAACAAGGAAGGAAAATAAATCTTCTGATTGATTGCAGACAGAACAGATTCTTTCAGCTCTTTGCTTTTCACGCTCGAGTTCAGTAATGGCACGTAGCATTTTTGCACTTTCCTAGCAAGCTGTCCATGCTTCATTCCAAACCGTGCACGTGACATTTAGCAGCGGTGAGGGTCCCATACAACTGACCCAATGCAGTACTTTTCAGGAATMTGACTAGGAAGTCCAGGCTGTTTCACATGATTTGTCATTTTCCTTCAGAGATGTTCTGAAGGATTTTGATGAGATTCTCTAGACCAAAAATATAGCCGTGGTCTGGCCCATCGTAAGTGGTGTGATTGCTCTTGGAGCCTTTAAAAGTGGTGTGGGCAAAGTCTATCATGCGGACGTCCACTTTGGAGTGGCCGGCACCATGCGACGTGGTGCAGTTTGTCTTCTGGAAGGGCCCCTGCGGGTGATTATCCAAGGGTGCTGSGTTCTCCTTGTTCTCCAGTCCGTCATAGATGATGAGGAGTGAGCTGGAGTAGAACCTGTAGGAGCTTTGCTTCCTAATGACCGACAGCAGAGCTTTCAGCTGCAGGACGATGGGCTCCAAGAGATCCGTTCTGAGGTGGTTACCATTGCACAGGAACTGGCGCAAGGATTGCCGGAATCCCTCGGGTGTGAGTTTTCTTCCATAATATTTATCTTTGCAGAGGAAGTGGCCAGTTTCAGCTTGGTACACCTGGAAGAAAAAGAACAACAATCTAAATTCCGTGCGTGGCTTAGTGGTCAGTTTTCCAGTGTTCTAGACCGGGTCTCAATGGAAAAACTTCCAAGCTGAAGAAATGGGAGACACGGAGCCTCTGCAGGCTGGCAATACTGGCAAGGTACTGCCGGCTTCCCAYGGAATCCAACCCCCTGTCTTTTCCGGAGATTTAGAATATTCAATTTAAAGGCCTGGTGCAGATTCTTGCTGTACTGCTATAAATTACTGCTTCGTGAAACGCGCGCGGCTGTAAGTCACAGGCATGTCACCAGTGATTTAGAGCATTCTCCCTCTGTCTCTGCTAGGAGCTTGCAGCAGTACAGGAGCACTCCTGTTRTACCTTCCCTCAATATGCAGCACATGGACAGCAATAATTTTGCTTATTTTCTTTTTAACACAGAGATACAGGAAGGCACAGGCAGGTATTTGTGAAGCTCTGTTAACACTGGGGGAGTGGATGCAGCTCATGCACCAGTTGTAATTTAAGGGAAAATTACGCAAGAGAAGCATATCAAAGAGCAGAAAGGAACACAGTTTTTGACACTACGTGTTTATACTGTCATATATGTGCTTTATAATCATCATTGTCATAATTATCCTTCAGGCACAGGAGAAAAACATTTTGAAAGCTGCTTGGGAAGTGTAAGTGGAACAAATACAGGGTTTCAGTTTCTAGTGGTTTTGATCAAGAGGCACCATAATAGCACAAAACAAACCCCTCACACATGCACTGATCARATGAGACAGCTCCATGAAGGAACGAGTGTGGCAAATTCTTCTTTTTTATGTTTTGCGTTTGCTTTTTGCTTTTCTCTTTGTGCAACGCTCCAGAGCTGAGCATGAGATGAGAGTCTGGTTTCCTGTAGAGACAGATCCTGAGCGGCTCTAAATTGGTCTCAGCTGTTCATATTCATGGTTATTGAATGCGGCCAGCCCTGTGCAGGCACCATTCATGAAAGTGGCCAGATCTCCATATGACGAAGCGGGGATATGAGGGAAGGATTACCCTATATATGCCATATTCTTATGCCCCTAAGTATCCACTCCTGGCTGAGAACAGCCTGTGTGGTGAAGTGGCCAGAAACTCAGTGGAAAAGAGGAATGAAACAAGCTCCATTTACGTCAGTGAAGGCGAGAGGCCCCGTGGATCTCCAGCTGTTCCCAGCAGTGCGTTGACCGCTCCTGCGTACCTGCATCCCGCAGATGCGGACRCCCAGCGACGCAGAGGTGCTCTGCTCACACTTCTTGATGTGTCGGGCCTTCTTCTCCTCCGAGGCATCATCTCCGTGCTGCCGGGTTCCCATCTTCAGGTCCAGAATGCAGGGGTAGCTGTACTTTGATACCACATTCTCTAGCAAGAGAAACTCTGCACAAGAGTTAAGGGAAACCCAATCCTTGCGCATTCTAATTGAAAGAGATCTTAAATCACAGCAACTGCTGACGTTCTCCATAATAGCTCACAACTGTAATGAGACTTTCTGAGCCAATTTTACCAACATGTCATTGCTATAGGCCCCTTGCTGCCAATTTCAGTTAATTTACTGTAGTACAGTCCTACCAATTAAAGCACCAATAGCTCCATTCTCCAGTGACACTATAGCCCTGGGCTGTCAATCCAACACCTTGCCTTGGTACTAAATTCACTCCAGTGGGTGTGGGGGAAGTTGTTAAACTGTATTAYTCACATGACTGCTGGGTAATGAAGTGTAATAGAAAAATAAAAGGCAAGGCAGCTGCTAATTTCTATATAGTTGTGTTTTCAAATGCATGCCAAGGGGATCCTTGACTTACGCTGAATACCTTTTCTTGAGAAGCTTTTTTTTCTTCTTCTTTTCGTCTTTTTTTTTTAACAGTGATATAAGATACAGGGGAATTATATCCTGTGCTTGCACAGGGACTGGGCAGAGTGGGCAAGCTTTCTCCTCCAATAAAACATATATTGATTATTACTCATTATTTGTGGTCAAGGCTATGCTAAGAGAAGTGAAGAGAGCAAAAGGATACGATGAAGTTTGTTCTCGTTATATTTGGAGGACATGCGGTTCAGGTGCTGCCTGTGACAGTGCAGTCCCCAGGGGTTGTAGCTTTTTCTTTCAGGCTGATTTCCGTTTGCATCTTCCAAGAGTGAATCTGTGCAGTATTGAAGGTCTGTCCTCAATAGCATTTTCCCTGGGCAGCTAGACAAAAGGCACAGAAGAACGTGTTTGGTTTATGAGCTCCAGAAAAGAATATTCCCTCCTCTCCTCTTTTGTAGACCCTCAAACTTGATAAGGTAGATTCTGAGGCGTTTTCAAAGGAAACATATTCATCATGTCCAGCCTGCAGAGATCCTTTGTTACTCCTGAAAGTAATTTTCAGAAAGCAAGCTGTTGCTGGGTGCCAATACTTTCTTTCATTATAATTTCAAAGTGTGCTGGACTTTGCTGAAAAGCACCATTCATAGCACCAATGACCAGGAATCCCTATTTATCTAACAGGCACAACACCGGCAAATTGTCCAACAATGGGAATGATTCCCATTTCAGAGGGACTGGCCTCRAGGAGGGGAGGGAGGGAGCAAAGAGGAGATTTTTTCTCCTTGTAGGGTCATTTGTTGGTCTCGCTCATCCAAAAAGCCATAATTCTCTTCTCACGGAGGGCAGCAGTTTCACGGTAGCGATATTGTACCCTTCAGTCACAGCTGACCCAGGTCTTTTCCAAACCAATTTGAGATGAAAGATGTCTTGTTGAAAGSCTCTGCAAGTCCAAAGGTCGGAGTGTGCTTGCGAGGCCCATAATGCTTCTCAGACACAGCTCTCCCCCGGGATGAGGGCAGCCTTGAACCACTTGAGTTTGCAGCTACAGCCTCCCTGCTGCTTCTGGCCACTTTCCAGCAGAAGGGCACCACGTGCTGAGCGCGTTCGGGGGCTATTCTCATTGGAGCTGATGCCCTTTCCTGCTTCTCACTGCTTCTGGAGCCAAAGGGACCAGGTGGAAAGCAGTGTTGGGGACGTACATTTGGGTGCCATCATGACCATGATGGCCCAACCTAACCTGCACCATCCAGCCATGTGGAGAGATGAGCTAGGAAGCCAACTGCTCAACTGCTGCTCTTCGCCTTGCCTTAAACCAGGAATCATGGAAACCTGCGCGATAGACTCTGCCCAGACCGGGAGGGGCTCCCACTGACAAAGGGGACCCAAGGGGACACTTGGCACCTCCTACCTGTCCTTGAGGGTCTTGGTGAGCTGCACGTGGCTCCACTTGACAAGCGTGCGCTCGCTGCCCGTGGCCCACTTGTGCCAGAGCGTGACCGACGACTCGTGGATGGTGTCCAGCAAGGCCTCCGTCTGCAGGCTGGGGCTGGCTATTAAGTTCAGGTTGCCCAGGCTGTCCTTTTTGAGGTGCACGGAAATGATACCTGCAGAAAAGAGGGGAAAACGAACTGGAATGAGCCCCTGGGCAGCAGATGAACCTGTGCATTGTCATACAGACATGGATCACGGTTGTGCAGCAGCTCAAGGTGCTCCTGAGAGGGTTGGCACTGTGCAGGACAGCTGCCTCCTTGTATTTCAGTGACCTCTCACAATCATCCCGGCTTGATCCTAGGCCCAAGAGACACCATTAGTCCGAGAGGCTGGAAAACAGCCACCAGCTTTTCTGATACTCCTTCCTCTTCACCAGATAGGGCTGCCTCGCACCCCTGCGCGGTCTCCACTTGAAACCTGCCTCAGCTGAACACCATGTTCCTTCACTGTCCATTCCTGTCCGGACACCCAGCTCTACTACGCAACAGTTGACCCTTCAAAGACCTTTGTGTAGGATGAGAAGCTCCTGGCTCATTTATGACAAGGGATTCAGGTCGCACTTCTTGCTGGCAGAAAGCAAAGAGAGGGCTGGGGACAAGGAGGGAATTTTCCAAAGACAACTGGTATGTCAGCTGCTGAACTGGAGAGAGTACAGTGGCACAGAAACCAAAGCCCACTCCCAAGAGGAGGTGCAAGGGCAGAGCAAGGAAGTTGCCGTAGCTGAACAGTTTTCAATAGCCACCTAGAAGTTTCTGCATGGTGTCATCTGCATCCCAGGTCTGSAGGCACTGGGCCTCACTTTTCTCCCTAGCAGCAGTGGTGGTGGTTCAGCTGACAGCCTTGGAGACAGGGCTCTAGTCCCAGCTTTTGGACTCATCATGTGCCCCTGAACAAGATATTCTGCCCAAAGGGCATGAGGCTTCCAAATGCATCTTACAGGAGTCCTGGCCTCTCTTTTCAGCTGCCTCCGTCTCCAGGAGACCACACTGAGCTCCTTTTCAGAGCAGTTAGGCTCAGTGAAGTCTCCTGCTGAAGGCAGGAGGAGCTCCAAGGGCTTTGCAGCMCCGAGCGGGCTCTGATTGCAGGAGTCTAACCTGGCAAGCTCACCATCCCCATCTGTGGGATGGAGATAGCATGATGGCACGTCCCAAGTGACACCACCAAGCTGCTTCCGCGCCCACAGCGCTCGCAGCATTTTGCAAAGGGAGACATTATCGGTATCTTCATTTCTGAGACAGTATCTTCAGTTTAGAACCAGGGAGGCTGAGGTTCAGAAAGACCTGACTTACCTTGAACACCCTGCCGAGCAGCAGCAGAGGTGGACACCAAAACCAGGTCACCAGAGCCTCAGCCAGGACCGTGCCCATTAGCCCATACTGGTGCAGCTAGCCCTGAAGATAACAAGCCCTGTGCTGGTGCCAAGTGATGGCTCTTGAGGATCACRATAGATMCAAACAAGGACTGGGTTTGGTTTTGKTTTTTTGTTGGCTTTTTGTTTTTGTTTTTTCCTGGAATATCAGGTGGTCTTTAAAAAGCGGACAATTGGGCAACCTACATTAGCCGGGCTGAAGGAGGGGACAGCTGGTGCCTGATGGCTTTCYGGGACCAAAACTATCCTTTTAATCTTTGCCTTTTTCTTTCTGTGCTCTCTAGTTTGCTTTGTTGACACAGTGGCACGGGGAGGCATCGCTGCCCACTGGCACGGCAGGCGRAGCAGAGCAAGGCTGATCTCCACAAGTGTGTGCCTGGGCTGGCAGCGCTGCCCCCGTCCGCGGTGCCAAGGCCGTGGCCATTCCAGCACCAGGGATGAGCACAGGAATGGCTCAGCCTGCGCCAAGAGGAGGGAATGGGCTTTTATGTGCCCGGTGTTCATGCACAAGGAGAGACATGAGCCCCATTCCTGAAAGCTGAGAGGCACTTAGCGTTTCCCACTATATATTTAACATAYTAGCATTGCGATTTTTCCTGGCTTTATGGGAATCCCAGGGCTCAAATGCCATCCAGTGTGCCAGGCATTTACCCCAGTCTCGTCCCAGCACAGCGAGACTGCTGCCTTGACGTGTCAAGTGACAGAGCAGAGCGGYCACGGCTCCCATAGGAGACAGCTCTGACCTTTGTGGGAAAAGCTGATAACAGCAGCCCTTTGCTGGGGGCATCGCTCTTCTCACAGGCCCTGCCCAGGGCTTCTGAGCCCCTCGGAGCTGGACGGGCACTTTTAGGGCATCACCCTTTCAGGCCCAGGTGGGATGCTGCTCATACCAGTTGTCTGCAGCAGTGCCCTGCTGCTTTCGCGTCCAGCTGCAGCACATGCAAAAGACGACGGTCGGGTGTGTTGAACCAAGAAAACTCATCACTGGAAAGAGCCCCAGAGGGTCACAGCGCCCCAAGTCTCACTCCCTGATTGCTTGAGCATCCTCCCTTGCTCACCGCARGGAGAGGCACTTAAGGAAATCTGCCAAAGCAAATAAACACCCAGCCCCTCTTTGCTCCGCTTCCAGTGAGATTACAGCAGGTAAAGAGGGACGCGAAGGATTTGCCCTCCGTGTGCGTGCGCAGAGCCCTGGCTGCTGAGTCCCGCTGGCTACGGGACCTTGGCAGAGCCTGGATCTCCGCAGCAGCCCAGCCGCCCGGTCCGGGGCTGCCCCTCCTGCCCTGCGCATCCCGCTGCCTTCGGGACTATGAATTTTGCACTGAAACAAGCGGGGAGCACAGGCTGCTCTGTGGTGGGAGGGAAACCTTACGTGGAGGGCATTACGTAGAGGGTAAGTATTATTTTTAGCTATTTCTGCCCTTTGCCCATGGTCATCATCTGTCTTCCTCTGGCTCCTGCGTCACGGGCATGATTTTCAGCTRTGTCTCATCTGCAAATATCTGTACTACAGGTTAACTCAGAGCAAGCAGAAAAGCCCTGCCGACTGATGCCTCGAATTTCCCGGAGAGGTAGCCATGAAAGCACCCGGGAGATTTGCCTAAATCAAAGCCTTTTTATTCTTTAAAAGTCACTGAGAGGCGAGCAGAGCCCTCGATTCCAAATCGAGCGCTGCGCTTCAATTACGGCACTACAGCAGCCTGTAACCTTAAAAACTGTCCCAATTACATATCTGCAAGTCAATGGAGCTGTGCTGATTTACATAGTGCTGACAATCTGGCCCTAAAAACGTTATATATAGCATGAAACTAAGAGGTCTTAAATATCTTACATTAATATGAAAATTAATGGGGAGATTTTCAAAGGCAAAAAAAAGGAGCAGCTCAATTACAAGGGAATGTGATCATCACACCTCCTTCCAGCTGAAAACTCTGCCTTGCTAAGCTCACCTTTCAGCTTTAGAAAGTACTTTTGCTTCCTGTTGTACTTCACTAAGGGATGGAGAGGTTCTGCATCTGTCCTTTGAGGGAYCTAAGTGTGCAAAACAAATATCTATACCATGTAGCTTCACATGCTCATGGCTCTTAACCTCCTCTTTTATTGCAACCAGAAAACATCTGCCTGGGAGGAAAGAYATGCTTGGGGACTTGTCTTTGCTGGCCTTTCACTCGCACCGAAGCCGCCGTCCTGTTCTGCAAGGCAGGCGAGGCAGACAGCCGGTATTTAGGGATGCTCTCACCATGCTAGTGGCATCCCGGTGATTCTCGGGAACACTTTGCCATGGAGCTCTTCCCTCAGGGATTTATTTTTAAATTTACAAGTGCATTTATTTATTGCCGTGTGCAATAGAGTCGGTGCGGAACGGGCCCTGAAAATAAGTTCCTAAATCCCATTGCAAGCTCTGAATTCAGCAGGCAGAGGTTTGGAAGCAGTTGTTGGGGGGAAAGCTGGTCTCAAGGTCACCAACATGCCTGAAATCTTAAGCGAGCTGCAGCCTGCGGGCATTTTTAAGCAGCCAACTCGGTGTTAGGTTTGAATGATGATATTTGATCAACATTGCWCTTAATGTCATCATTTCATAATGGTCCCCGAGCCCCATCACGGGCTAAGAATAGAGATGAGGAAAATCAGCACGTGTGAAGGGCTGATAGAGACCTCAGGAATTTTYCCCTGGTGCTCAGCCCCTCGTTGGAAAACATTCTGCCTCTTTTTAATGCGTGCAGTGCTTGGCCTGGGTCCGTTACATGGAGAAAAATATATGTGTCCGATGACAAACTGGAGAACTCTTATTTAATTACCCCTCATTGCAAAACTCACTGGGACTTGCAATAGAGAAGAAAAAGGAGACCAAAAGACATTAATAACCAGGCCACCCTTGAAGTGATAGTTTGTGACTGTTTAACATTTTTATGAGAGAGACAAAACTGGGTCCAGCTCCCCAGCACTGAAACTGGGCCCTGCTTGTTGATGAGCTACAGAGAATTGCCTTTTTTTGTTCTTAAGCATCTTTTTAACGTCGTCCCATAAATCTGGACAGGCCTCTGACTTTCTGGGAAAGAGCGAGATGGAATTGGAAGTGCATCAAAACCTCAGCTGACATTCTGCGCTCTCCTCTGTAGCGCTGAAGGACCGAAAGATATTTTAGTTTTTAAGTGACAGCCGAGCTTCCTGCCTCCCACAAAAATCCAGGGTCGGAAGCTTTATGAACAGCACAAGTTTGGCAGTAAAAGCAAAAAGATACTGGGAGAATAAAGGAAGGGAAAGAAACTTCTTTTAAAAAGTGCCTAGACTCCCAGGGACACCGAGTGCTGCCTTTTAATAGCAAAATCTAGAGATGCATCCGACAAAGCGGCTCGGGCAAGGGAAGTCGCGGGGAGCCACTGCTCTGCTTCACCCCAGGTCACCTTCCCAGCCCCCATCTTCCCAGGTCTGCCCMTTTTCAGCCCTTTTCGACCCACCGGGAGGCCTCCCTGTCCCTGTGTCTCACGGATCCCACAGCAGCAGGTGGATGGACACCAGAGGGAAGGCCGGTACCGATGCTCAGCCCCTACCTCGGGCATCAGCCGCATCCCACGGTGGCATGGGAGGCTCTTCCCTGCTCCAGGACCTGCCTGGGAGATGTCCCTGCTCAGCAAAACATGATCTGTGCAAGTGAAAGAGGAACTGGGGACTTTATGGCTTGGCCTCAGCCCCGCACCAGGCACCAGTGTCTCCTCTGCTGCCTCCTCAATACTCCAGCCACTAACCCAAGCCTGCCCAATTCCAAGGAAAACATCACCAGTTGTTAGGACCCTCTGGCAATAACATTGCAAGGAGCCCCGCAGCTGGGAGCCCTGCTCGGAGCTCCCCCCAGGCCCTCCTGGCGTTTCCCCCAGCTCTCACCTTTGTACTGGGGCGTGAACTGCYGCATGGCCAGGGGCAGCGACTCGTAGAACCACTGCTCCTGCGAGACGAGGGGCTTGCACACCGTGTGCTCGTCGTACTTCATCACGCTCATGTGGCCCCCGACTTGGTGCACGAAGGGCTCCAGCAGCACCACTTTCCGGGGCTCGCTGGGGCCCAGCGGGCTCTTCCCCACCATGGTGCTCGGCTGCTTGGTGCTCAGGTGGACACGGAGGTTTCTGGCTCGTTGAGTTGCAGCTACGGGGGGTTAGAAGAGGGTTTCGGGCCGGTCTGCGTTGGGGCGGTGAGGGACGCTGRATCTTGAGCCCGACCCAGGTGCCTTCTGGCTTCTCAGCTGGGCGCTGACGCCCTTTCTGCAAAGCAAAGGATATTGAGGAGGCTGAGGGGTGGCGCGAGGGGCTGCAAACCCCTTTGCTGTGCTGGGATGCCTCGCGTGCCCCCCACCCCTGTCCCCCACGAGCGACGCCTGCAGCCAGCGCYGCGCGCTGAGGCTGGTGACGAGAGCGCCTGCGCGGGGCGAGATCCCTGCGAGAGGGAGTCCCGGCTCAACAGACCCTGCCTGGGGCTGCGAGGGCAGCGGAGGAGGGGGATGGAGACGGGCTCYCACGTTCCTGTGGCTGCCTCTGTACTGGGTGGTTGTTAACACAATACCCGCTTCTGCTCCTGAGAGGGACAGCCCTTGGTGTCACACAGTGCCAGCCTGCCCTAGAGCAACAGCTAGCGATGCAATTAGTGTTTCCTCAAGCCGCTGTGAAGGAGGCTCATTAATTAGACCTCGGCAAGTTCATTTCCTTGGGCAACTCTGCCTGGTAGCGCTGCCGATGGTGAGAGCCACRTGGATGGCACCTTCCGAAGCAGCCGCACTGCGACACGGCCCCTCAGACCACGCCGAGGGCAGCGAGCGCGGCGCTTCCACCAGGACAGCGCGCGTGGCACGAGGGCACGTCCCCGGCAGCGCCGCGCTCCCGCCGCCCGCGCGGGCCTCGCCGCGGCGAGCCAGCGCGGCACTCGCACCCTGCGTCCTGCCCCCAGCCCCAGGGAAACAGCCCTGCTTTCCACAGGAACGAGGCCTGGCTCTAAATCACAGAATGGTTCAGGTTGCAAGGGACCTCTAGAGACCATCTAGTCCAACCTGCCTGGGTCCAGGATGTGAACCTTCCAGGGATGTGGAGAAAACACTCAGAGAAAAGCGCTCAGGCTCCACGGCCCGCACTGCTGCCCCAGCAGGGGCATCCCGCTTTCTCTTGCATCCACGCTGCAAAAAAACCCTCTGCTTCACTCTTTGCCCAAAGCTCACGGGTGGCTCTTGGGCTGGTGAACGTTGGGCAGAGGCTGCTGCAGCCAGGGAGGAGGATGGAGAATCAACAGCATGAAACATCACATTGCCGAAGCAGGCTTGGTTCATGCCAGCGGGGCAATAAAAACAGAGGAGGATCACAAGGTGTAGGTGATGGGAGAAAAATCGTCCTTTTGGGGTCTGCTCCACGGTCCTGCAGCCCTCCAAAGGGAGCGTGCGGAGCCCTGCTCTTGTCTGGCTCTGTACACGGGTGACTCGTTATTACCTTGGCTTTCTATTAGCATAGCTTAGGGCAAAACTGCCTGAGTAGTGTTTGCTAGAAGCAAACGAGATAATAAGGTCTTTGGAAGATCTTCTGTGTTATATCAAAGCCTCCATCACCTGTGAGCAGGGCTGAYATTGCCACCATCATCCCCACGAGGACCCAGGCCGCCCCGCCAGCCCCGCATTAAAGCAGGGACACGGAGCAGCGAAGGGAACACGGCACCTTAGGAGGGACCTTGGCCACAGGGTCGCTCCTCAGCCGCGGCCTCTCCTCTCATGCAGCACCTAGATAAGAACCATACCCGGGACCTGCCCGCYGTGCAGCTCCCCAGGCTGCGGCGGAGGCCAAGCTCGGCTGCTTGAATTTCTCCTGGTGTAATTAGAGCCCYGAGCAAACGAGCCCTGAGCTCTGGTGCCCCTTAGGGCTGCTGCACGGGGGAGTGAGAAGAACAGGCTCCAAGGAACAGAGGAGCTTCCCCAGGGAACGGAGGAACCCTCCTACCTCCCCAACACACGTGGCAGCTCCTTTTGCACCCCCAAGGGTGTTGCCTTCCCCCCTTATATTTTATTTCTTTCGTCACTGTGCACTTCAGAAAGGAATTTCTGCTCTGCAATTACCAGCCGGCAGCAGCAGCAAGGAACAAAGCCAGGCCCCTCAGATGAGTGGTTTTCAGCCTAGGTAGAGCGCTGCTTTTTAGAGCCTTTCCACGAGTTAATAAAAGCATTCAGTGTTTTGTTAAGTTGCAGCAACTTTTAAAGAGGATTTCTCCCTCTGGAGCTGTAGGGTTTGTTTTATTTCTCTTCCCTCCTTAAAAAGAAAAAAAAAGGAGAAAAAGAAAAAAAAAAGGAAAAAAATAAGCAAGCAGATTTGTCATAACACCTCTTTGGAGCAGAGAGCACAACATGACTTCAATCCGGTATTTATTGCTTTAGAGACATTCCAAGGCTGAAACGCAGCTGACATAACACACTTACAATTCTGGCAACCTTGGCATTGCAAAGAGAGTCAGGGAAAAAAATACAATTTGATAAGGCTCTTATTGTTTACTCGTAAGCAAAACTCCACACAAGATTTGCACTAAGGAGAAAGGGGCTTTTTTTTCCCATTTACTTTTTGTTCTGAAGCAGCTTGTTCATTCCAAGCAGATAAATGGTGCTGCAAACACTTACTGAGCTGGTCTGAGTGGCTCTGAAACAAGACACTTTTGAAATAAATCACCTCCCCGGCTCAAGTTATCATGAATGCCAAAAGATATCTGCGTCACTAAAAATACACAGAATTACAGATAAATCCATATCCTCAAAATCAGTTTGTCTCAAAAAAAAAAAGAAAAAAAGGAATATTGTTCCTCCAGAAAAAAAAAAAAAAAAAAACCACAACCCAGGTACTGCAGATGAAAATAATGACTCAGAAATAAGGGGGAAGGAAAATACTTTCTTCTTTCTCTTTATTAAAAAACTCCCCACTCCAAGGGAAAAAACCCACTGCATCACCGCAGATGCTTTAAAGCCTCTGCAAACATCCATTTCCCTGACTCTTCCCCCCGCGGCTTGTCGGAATTCGTCGGCTTCCCTTCTAACGAGCGGTGTCCTGCTCTGGGAAACACGTGCGTTTCAGATGCTGTATTTGTAATTTCAGATGTAACGTAATTGTAATTTCAGAGGCTGTCTTTGTGAGCGCGGCGCCCGCTCGGGGCTGGCCCGCGCCCCGTGTCTGGCTCTCGCACCCCGCGTCGGCCCCGCGCATCCCCTTTACGGGCAGCCCAATGTCAAAAGATACTGGCTGGAGTTAAACAGCTTCTTTATGCCCAGCAATAACCATGGCCAAGCGAAACGGAGCAGGTCTCCAATGTTTAATTAAGGTCTCTCCATCCTGTCCAAGGCTCTTCTAGCTCCGAGTCCCCCATGCATGGAGACAGACAGAGCTGCCTTAGGAAAAAAATGCATCTCAAGAGCAGCTCTGTTCATTGAATCCTGTTAACAGGAATAGTCTGGAATGTTAAGAAGTGATGCTGCTTTTAAAACACRTGCTCTCCCAGCAAGGGAGCGTGGTGTTGCTTTAGCAATCCTGGTCGGTGCCTTCATCTGCAGGGGACCCTGCTCTCGGAGGCAACTCAAAGCATCCTGCTGCAGCGCRGCCTTGAACACCGCAGGCTGCTGGTGTTTGGCTTTAATTAAAAGGCAACTCAAGAAGGTACCTGCTAATCTGGAGAGATCTGCACGGCCATAGCTCTCGGTATCAGTCCTGGCTGGGATTCAACGCTAGCTCCTCAGCCGGGGAGCCGCTGCCACGCACCTGCCCGTCAGGGCTGCAAATCCACGGCGGGGTTTTACCGACCGAGCCCACCTGCCCYGTGCCTTTGCAAACACACCCAGAGCCCCGCGCGGGGCGTCCCGGCTGGCGGGGACGCCTGTGCCCCCTCCGTCAGGCCCTGTCCCCCCGAACGGCCGAGTCTCTCTCTCCTCTTTCACCCCAACGGGTTTCCTGTTACAGCTCCCGCGTTATTTATATGCACTCTCCTCGGCTCCGATGGGGCCAAACTCTCCTGCCAGCCTTTCCTGCTGCCTTGATTTCACTCGAGATCAGCCCCTCCGTTCATTTCCATGTGCCTGTTWCCCTGTGCCATCGAGTGGCTGCAATATTAGTTCCCTATTACTTTTAAAAGCTGCCTCTTCCACTCTTCCCTCATCTCCTGCCCAAGGAGGCACAAATAGTTGCAGGGCAACAGTGAGACAGGAGGGAAAACGGGGCTCTCTGCACAAAAACTCGCTCGAACCAATCCCCTATAAATCCTAATGTGCAAAAACCCTGAGCTCTTTTATCTTGCATTTCCTTTCCTGGAAGAAAATGATGTTCATAAAGTTTACGACTGGTCCCCGCATCCCTCACGAATAAGATGCAAAGATGCAGCTTGCTGCGTGCAAGGATTTATTCAGCTGCTTTGCAAAGCAGTGGGATCTGGGGGGGAGGAATGGGAATCGCATTAATGCGGATTGATAGGCTGCTAAAAACCCCATTTCCTCGGCCAGCGAGGGCCTGGACACGTGGGAGTGGGTGCAAAGCGACAGCACGGCCGGGAAGACGCCTCTGTGTGCGGAGCAACCTGCGGCCGGGGTTTTGGGGCTCCGATGGTACCTGGGACCGCAGGGAGGTGGGAATTGCAGCCCCATCCAGCAAGGCTGGATGCTGCTGGGAAAGGGCAGCAGTGAGCAACCTCCTGCTCCAGCCTTAGTCTCCCTCGGCCCCACAGATGGGAAGACGAGGTTGGGATGGCCACCCCTTCACACAGACTGGTGCCAGCAGGATGTGCCTGGCTCTTGGGCAGCTCCTGAACCCAGGGGCAGTAATTAGCTCACCTGTAAATACTTATTAGAAACAGGCACGTGCTGGCCAGTACCTTGGGGCACAAATCCAGAACCACAGACTTCCACCTCTGTGTCAGGGCTCGAGACCGTGACCTGGAAGCAGGTAATTTTTCCTACCTTTCTGCTAGATACTTGTAGGGACTAAGCAAAAACGGAGACCTGGCTCCCGATGGAGCATCGCTTTCCCAGTCTGCTTCCCACACAGGAAAGTCTCCATGTTCCACTCCGGCTCCAGCGGCGCCCGGGGCACCCAGCGCCCCGGGGCCCATCGTGCCCAGTGCCACTCGCTGTCCTCGCGGCCGAGCCCACAGGTCCCAACTGCCCCTCTCTCCCGTCCCATCCCGCCCCACATTTACGGAGTTGCTAATAATACCCCACCTGCTCTCCAAAACAATCAAGTGCAGGAGGATCCTGCCCTGCAAGGGGCYGGCGCTGGTGCTAAAGGGGTCCCGGACCCTCACCTGCAGTGTCGGCGCGCGGGATCCCGCGGGATTCGGCTCCGAGCGCGGCTCCCCGGGCTTCGGGATGCTGCTCGCGCGGCTTTTCTCAACGCTTTACAGCCCGGGCACGGCCGTCTCGCGCCAGTATGAGGCCCGAGGGYGCGGGGGGAGCCTGGGGACACACGGGGACATCAGGTGACCGGCGCCGGCGCTCCTGGTATGTCCAGCTGACGGCTGCGATATAAAGGGGAGAGAAAACATGCGGCGCATCGAGGGAAAACAAGCGCACGGGCGAGAGGGTTGAGGGGCCGCGGGAGGGAGAGGGGGCCGGTGGTGGCCACGTCAGCGGGGCCGAGTGCTGGGGGTTTCCAGCAAGGCCGGCGGCCTCCGGATCCCTCGTGCCGCTCCGGGAAAACAAGCGCCGCTCCCTCCCTCCCTCCCTCCGGAGCTTCCCAGTGCCTTGCGCAAGAGCCCCCAGGGCTCACGGCTGCCCTAGGGAGCTGCTGGGGCCGGGATGCAGCCCGGATGGGTGAGGGGACCCCCCGGTGCTGCACCCCAGTGGGGCGGGGGGGACAGGATGGATGGTGGTTTCCTAAGCTTCCAAAACGGCTGCTTGTTTGCTGGGAAAGGCACCGGGGTTGGGTCTGGAATGTGAAGGAGCCGGGACCGGGACGCCCATGGGCAGGAYGGGTCCGGGGGCGGCTCTGCCCGCAGCAGCTGAGCGGGCCCCAGGAATCCCAGTCCCGGCCAGGCGCCGCGAGCCAGGAAAGCCGACACCGGCCTGGGAAGAGCCCCGAGGAGCTTCCCGGGAGGGCCGTGGCGGGGCGCCGCGGGCACCACGCGCTGCCGCCTGCGATGCTCCGTGCGCGGCGGGAGCCGGCACAAGGGGAGCGCCAGGAGGGCCGGCGGCCTCGGGGCACACGCGCTGCCCACGGGCTCCAAGGCTGCGACTAGAGACGAGGATGGAGCCGGTGTCGCGTCTCCCACRGGCCCCGTCCGAATCCATGGGTCAGGTCCAGCAAAAGGCAGCTGGAGAGAGAAGCGGTGCCTCGGGGCGAGCGCAGCGCGAGGAGAGGCCCCGTGTGGAACTCGGCATTTAGGGAGATTCGACAGCCATTCCTGAGGAAGCCGGTGCGGCTCACAGGGTGCTGCCTCCTCCGGAGCCCCACACGCTGCCGCTGCCCCGTCCCCGCATGGAGGTTACGGGGCAGCAGGGCCAGGCGGCGGCAGCGCCCTGGGACCACAGCCGAGGCTGCAGAGGGGCGAGCGGGAAGGGAGGCACCAGGCCCAGCCACCCCGGGCAGCACCTGCTCTGAGGCGGCCATGGCCACCGGSGCCCTTCCCCAAGGGCTGACCCAGGGCCTGGGCCTGGTGGCCCTGGGCCACCTCTCCTGGTGACCTCGGGCGGGACGCGCCGGCCCTTCTTCTTCTCCTCGAGCTCCCGTTGATCCTTGCGGCGGGGCTGGCGCGGCGCCCTGCCTCTGCTTCCCATAAATAAGCCCGGCATCAGCTGTCATGTCAGCGGGAGACAAAGCATTTCATACGAACGCCTTTAAATGGAAGCAGGAAATAAAAAGATAAAGGGCAAATTTTATTTTAGATGCCTTGTTGGTACATATTTTTCCTCCTGACAGTAACGGGATGCGATGGCTTTATCAGCCCACCCTTTGAGAATTTATTTATAGCCTCCTAAGGCTTTATAGGAAAGTGTGTGGGGGACATTAGCAACCCCAGGGGAGTGGATCTAACTTGCGAGCAGGGCTGGGAAGGGAGATCAAGAACCCAGTTTGTCTCCATCTCCAAATGGGCCTGGGGCTCTAGGAAACCGCTCGTCTGCGGAGAACATCAGGGCAACTTGCACGGAGAAAACAGGAGCGAGGCGGCATGAGACTCTTCTTCTCTGCTCCCAGGGTAGGACCATCAGAGAAGACATCTTGGCAAGCTGGTGCAAAGCACATGTAGTTACACCAAGCCGAAGCTGGCTCCTGACCTTCAGTGTTTTTCAGCTGTAACTTAGCAACCTAGACAGGGTAGAGCCTCCACCCGGGAATGCGGGTTCAAGGGAGAARTGTGGCCTTGTGCTTCCTTTTGTCCCCAAATCCCAGCAAGGACTCACACAGCGAAGGGGAGGTAGCCCCGTCCCCATCACCTTCCATCAGGAGCCGCGTGGCCAAAGGCCCTTCTCACATGTGGACATCTCCCTCCTTGGTAATCCAGACCTACCTTAGGAGATTAATGGAACGTTTCTCCCACCGAACACGAGTGAGTCAACTGTGTCCACACAAGTTACACAATGATGATTCAGACTCCACTCGCTGTTTCATGAGTAGACTTTGAAGGAAGCTAAAAATCGCATAGCACATGTTGTGAGTCACTGTCACTCAGGTAAGAGAAAGGCATCAAAAACTCTCCGGCAGGCAAACTCAAGAGAATGGGTGCTTGCTCACAGAGCTTGGCATGTCTTCTACCCACCCGGCAACCTTGAGAGCTCYGGTACCTAGTGAATAGTCCAAGACTTTGCTTCTGCTCCTGACACAAATATCCCTCCTTCTGCAGTGCTTGTTGAGAGCTTTGTTCAAAGGTTATTAACCCTTGAAGCACTAGGATGAGAATGATGTGCCCCATGACATGAGAGAGCCAGGGAACAAGGACAGGATGGGGCAGCAGTTCCAGCTCACTTCCTCTACCCTCGCTCGGCCCTTCACGTCATGCCCCAGAACCCTTCACAAAAGCGAGCTCACCGTGGCCAGAGGCTGCCACAACAGAGCCAAGATTGGCTGAAGAGCCCATTGACTTCAGCCACTGCCCACGCAAGCGACCTGCCTTCGAAAGAGCAGGCACAAACCACACAAAGCTTGAGGCACCCTCAGCCCATGCCCACAGACTTGTTGTTCCCTCCCGTTTATAAAACCACAATCCTCAGAGCTRTCACTCTTGCCAAAACACATCCAGACAGGATAGCTGCTTTTCATACACACCTTCCATCTCGCTGCCAACTAGTCCCAAAACAGAGACTGAATTTGCAACTGAACACTTGAGACAGCTGATCAGCGAGTGTCGCATGGATCCAAGTTCTTGGGTAATCCCTGTGCTCTTATTCCTGGAAGCCGAGCTCTCYGGAGAAGGACCTGTTTGAACTCCATGAGCAAAGCACTGAGAACAACCTGTGCCTTCTCAATACAAATAAAGGGGACAATCATTTGTAATAAATTTATTTTATAGATTGATATACAGAGCTAAACTGAGCATATAATAAATAGCACCAAGCCAGTGAGCTTTATTCTACAAAAACAAGTTTAATACAAAATGATCGCAACGCCTCACTTTGCACCCTAGACCTGGACAGTTTAAAAAAAAAAGTCAACCCAAACCCCACGAGTGTTTTAAAAAGGCCTAGAACTGTAGGCACTGGTGTTTGCAAGACGTTCTACAACAGCACTGAAGATCTCGTTACAACATTCTGGAAGAATCAAAGCTGCCTTCATTTTATCCCCTATTTTAAAAACAGTGGAAGGAGCTGGTTATTGTCTCAAAGGCAGCTGCCGAGTTTCCTTTTTTGTCCAAACACCCTACTTTTGCAACCAAAAAGAACACGTGGGGCTAAAGATGAGCTGCACGCAGGGTATCTCCCTCCTGCACGCACGCGACCTCTGCTCAGAGACAGGAGCCAGCAGCACCAGGGGTGACGGGGAGGCAGCAATGGGGACAAGCACASACTTCACGGTGGGGATGTGAGCAGGAAAAACCCACGCGGAGTGCGGCCCGTCACGAGCTGCCCGGGGGAACGCGCTCCTGGCAGCAGAGAGCGGTGCAGTCGTGTACATCCCTCCCGGGACGCCAAGGAGAGTAACACCCRCTGGTTACCTGGGTTCACACGAGCTGCTGCCTCCTCTCGGCAGCCTTCMCTAGCTCATGCTGGAATGAGTTTGGTCCCTGCTGCCTCAGGGACGAGCCGGGCAGCAGTTCTGTGGCGCTGGGAGCAGCACTTTAACAGCAGCTCTGCCCAGCCGAAGCTGCCACACAATGGTGCTATTTTCTTTGAAACAAACACTCCTTTGCTGGACATAAAAAACTAACTTAAGTAACCAAATGGTTATAGACACAAAATACAGTGCCTGCAGCAGGAACAGAGGATTGATCACCGCTCCCTGGGCCCGTCGAGAGGCTGCAGGAAAATTAACCTGGCAAAGAAGCCCTGTACGGACGCTCCATGCACAGTGCATCTCTGCTCACACAGCACTCACATTGCAGCTGCCCAGGATAAACACGTACATTCAACCCTAACAGCCTGCCCAAAGCTGCTCGTGAATAACTCATGAAGCAGTCCCTTTGGCTGCAGCCATAAGAAAAAGCTTTCCGTATCTTCCTGTATCTGTCACTTTTCACCCCAATTCCCCTCCCTCCCCATAGCAAAGCGCAGAGATTACAGACTTAAAAGTGTAACCAGGGTCGCAACGGTTCCTCCCTGCCACCCAGCCCAGCCCCAACCACTCAAGGCACATCAGACTGCCCTTCCTCTAGGACCACCTTCCCCCAATTTTTTCCTCTCTTCATCTTTAAAGGAGGAAGCAGACAAACATTTTCCTTGTTGGGAACCCATTAAGTGCTTTTGGCACGTCTCTGTACTGATAAAATGCATCGTAACTGCCACCCAGATGCTTCCATGGGAAATGTCAGTCTTTTATTTWAAAACATTCCCTGATGGACTTCACCACCAGTTGGCCTTTGCAGAACTGAGGTCATATTTTAAAAGACAACCCTTGCCAGAGGGGCCCCTTGGCCCTCGCTATTAGGTATGCATTTTTTTGCTTTATAGAAAGTTGTTTTGCTTGCCTGGGGAAGCCAGATACCTGCTGGAAGGCTGACTTTGGTGCAATTCAAGCTTCCCATCCACTCAAGCCCATTCTTCCTTACCAGACAAGATTATTGCCCTTATTTTTTAGTGTGTATGTGAAGATTCTGAGAGAAGAGCAAAGATGTGAACAATCCTCAACTCAAGGAGATGAGGACCTGCTCTTTCCCACCACCAGAAAGGTGTCCTTCTGCAAAGGTCCACATCAGCAGCTCAGCCTCCTCTTTAGTGTTCTGAGTCTGAGAGGTAAGAAGGTTGAGTCCACCTCCACACCAGCATATCCTCTCCCGCTACTCTGTGTGACTCTGTCTGAATCCTCGACTCATTCGAAGCCAGAAAGTCCACAGCTCTGTCCCAGACCCGCTTCATTTTTTTCCTAGAAGAAACAACAACAAAAGAAATACAATCATGTTCTCATTGCACCTTCCATCTTACGGCAATTGTGGATGCTGACCAAGCTAYTGCTCTCCTCTTCCTGCTCCCTATGCAAACAACGGATAAGCAAAATTCTGGCTTGGAGCTTATTTCAGGCCAGGACATGAAAACACAAGGTCTGCTGGTGGCAAAGGTGAGACCCTCTGGCAGGACAAGAGATTGGCGACTGACCTCAATTTCAAATCTGATTCATGTTGGGAGGACACCCAGGTCGCGAACTGCAAATTGCTCCAAATGCAAGAAATTAGTCCGCAAAGATGAAGCAGATGACAGAATAACCAAGCACGAGGCTCCTGCCTCCAGCTCCATCAATAGTTGCTGGGGAGCAACTATTTTGACCACACTTCCTTCCAGAAAAAGCACAAGAGCCATCTCGCTGAATCTCCTTTTCAAAGCTGCCCAACTCAAACTGGTAATTTTCCAGGCAAGCAACACATAGCCACTTCAGAAGAGCCTCACGATACCTTATTCCACTCATGGAAAGTTTCATTCTGAAAAGCACAGCAGCTGCCTGGAGAACAAGGTAAGACAGCTGAGAAAGAGGACAGCATTCAGCTCAGATCAGATGGAGACAAAGTAAGGTACTCCATGCCCAGGCGAAGCAAAATGCAATTACTGTGTGATAGAACAATGACAATACACCTGCRCAACGTATCAGCGCCACGACTGTCACATTAATCTGCAGCAGGTTGAGACACAGCCCGAGTTATGTCAAAATCCTTTATAAACGGAAAGGCCAGACAGATTCTTCTTCCACTCCAGCTTCCAGCAGTGGCCTGCACATGCTCTGTCGCTCACCAACTGCGGTTCTGAGCTGAGCRGCATCATGCTGACAGCCCTCCTCAAAAATCAAAATTCAGCTCACCTGCTCTGCGGAGGGATGAGGCTGTCCCGGACGTGCAGGATGCCCACGTAGGGGTAACGCTCCAAATTCCGCTCCCATTCCTTATAGTGGTCCTGGACAACAGCTGTGGGGGCACAAGGATAGTGAGACAGCTCAGCAGTGCACACAGGAGAACACGTTACTTGGCTTAGGGTTACTGCAGGCTACCTATGATCTTCTTCACCATCTCATACATGGCTTGTTCCTCTTCTGCCATCTTCCGCCAGCGATACTTAAAGAAGATCAGGATCCCCCAAAGAGTTAGCAGTCCTAAAGGAAGAATAAAACCTAATGTCAAATACTGCCATATATTCTCTTGATGGCTGCTACCTGTTTTGTGTCTGACATTGCCCCCTTTCTGAAGCAGCTTCCACTCCCTGACACCCAGGGCCCGCTTGGAACTGAATCCAAACAATTCACTTGAGACTCATTGTGGTGGCTGCTCCCCACAAGAGCCTCAGCACTGACAGTGTCTGCAGCAGAACAGCATGTGTGCGTGTGGGAAGAACTGGTCAAAGAGCCTCATGATGAGCTGTTCTTCCCCTCACCAGAAACCTCAGGACAACCACAGGGCTCTAATTCTCTAAATCCTAGAGCCATCTCTTTGCCAGAGGCCTCCCCCACCACAGTCACTTAAGAGAACTGTCAAGCTCTGCTGCTCTGCAAATAGGTGCTTCATAAGGAAATAAAGTCCAGGGCGCCAGCCCAGAATTCAGCCTTGACAAAGGTCCCAATTACAACAGCAGCTAACATTAATATCTCGGCCTCTGTAGTAAACACAACTATCTCCTTTCCCTCCCACCTCGCCTGGCCGGATTATAAACTCTTCCAGGCAACACTCATCTCTCGTTATCACCTATCTCAGTAAGGCCTGTGTCTCAACTGGGGCATGACAGACTTTTACGGCACAGCCCATAACACTGAAATGCTACAGGTCATTATCAAAGAGGCCAGAAGACTTAGTRGCTTAGTCCAAGAAAAGAAAGAGAAACCCAATCTTCTAGGCAGGCTAAAATACTCATTTTGCAGACCACAGAAAYGGGTGCTTGAGGAATACTCAGAAGGCCAATCAACTTGCTGATTTAAAATAAGTGTTAAGCACTCACAGCACAAGAGCAGGTCTACGGGTCTTTCTCTGCTATCGGAGCAAAGGTTAATTAGAAATTAACTCATCAGCATTTATTTCACCTCTACTAATAATTTCATATGGTTGGGAGAATGTGTGTGTGTGTGCGCGCATGTTCATCTGTACTGGAGAGGGCAGAGGCTGGTTAGTAAAGACTTACCCCAGAAAAAYAGGAAAAGATTCATGATGGCAGTGATCATCGCACGCCGGAATCGGCAGCCAAGCCCCATCTGAGGGTGGGCTGATTCCAGACAGAGCACGTCCTTCACCGAGCTGATGGGTTCAGAAGGGTCTCTGCCTTTCAGCCTAATGGGAAGAGGCAGAAATTCTTTACTAAAAGACACAGACACTTCAACTGCAGACTTTCATCAAGAGAGGGAAAACAAACAGACTGCAGAGGTAGTAACTTTTTCAGTATACTGCATAGCAAATACACCACATCCTTGCAGCACCTCTTTCCTGAATATTTCGGAACCAACTGCTTAGCTAGGAATGGATATGGCTTTAGAAAAGGCAGCARGGCTGGAACTCCCACTGGTAAACTGAAGTCTCCCTCTGCAGATGCTCTGGCAGCACCTCTCAGTGTGCAGAAGATTAAACTTTAAATTGGATTCCCACCTCCCAGCATACAGAAATGGAAATGTTTACTGAGTCACTCATCAGCAACTGCAGAGAGCAGTTGAGGGAGACTGCACATGTCCGTGGAGGTTGCACTGTTTTCCTCAGTATGGATGAGCACAAACAGTTTAGCAAGAGAAGGGAAAACCCGTGAGCTGCCTCTGCAGCAGAAAGCAGGCACACCCTTGGCAAGCACTCGGGGCACAATTGATGGCACCTCCTCCTGCAGCATCGCTCGCACCCATCGGCCGCGCCACCCGCCTGCTGCTAGCGCGCCGCTTCACACACACATGCACACGGAGCTGCCTTCCTTCCTAGATACCCTAAGCCARGAGGCATCTATAACTCAACTGAGCCCCAGCGGATGCTGAGGAATTGGACTAAAAGGGATTTTTTTAAAATTACTAATTCGTTCTGGATTGCAATGAAGAGATTATTAGACAAAGACGCTGTTTCAGTTTGCTAGTACGAGATYAAACTGCTGGCAGCTTGTATTTGGTTACTGGATTCTACAGTCTACAAAGAGACACCCAATTGTTTCCCACCTCCTTGTTTTATTTACAATCCAGATTCCAGGAAAAGGTTTAAAATGTGCAACAGAATCACCCAGTGCGGAGCTCATTTCAGCTCTGCCTCTCCGACTAGCACCTAGGAAAATCATCTCACGGGCTGTTCGCTAAAATGCCACCTGCAGGTTTTTAAGCACGCTCAACACCCGTTCTGCACGACACACAAGCGTCCTGGAGGTGGATCCATTTGGTGGAAAGCTGGTAGAATTGCTAATTATGAAAATAAAGAAGGCATTATGTATTGTCACACGCCTCTTGACTTGAACAGTGCTCCAGTAGAAAAATATGCATTTGAAAACTCTGAATCTCAACCCACCCACAAATYCAAGCTTGCCACCAAGGAAACGGCGTCCTGTCCTGGGAATTCACCACATACCAGGAGCCAAAGTAGTAGACACTCTGACCACTGAATCACAGCAACTGCTACAGAAATTAAGGGAAAATAAAGCACTAGGAATTATTGCAAGCAACGCCCACAAAGCCTAGTGTTACTGTTGTTACAAGTCATTTAATCAGAGACACAATTAGCAACGTTAGAATGCAAACAAATGTTTGATTTTGTTAACAGAGAGTGGAGGCAGCACACACTTCCTAAAAGGAGATATCCAGAGTCTGCAGACTCTGGATAAGCCTTTCATTAAGTAATGACCTCAATGTTATACTATTCACTTGAAGAATCTATTATTTCTGCCTTTTCTCATGTGCTGAGCTGACTAGTGGCCAAGAAACCCTAGAGAAAAGCCCTTCYTGTGACTGCCCAACAGCCTACACAACCAGTGGGGAGTCCTTCCATTCRTTTATGTACTCCATTTTCTGTCAGAAGAACAACTGACAGTACAGAAAAGATATAGTTCAACAACTGTTCCCCTCTATTCCTTCCAGGGATTGGTCCCAAAGGATCCCAGAACAATATCTATTAAATCCAACTCCTTAGACCATGGTTCAGTACAGTGCAGAGTTAGGTTCTTTGGCCAAGAACCTCAGTAGAAAAGCTACCTAGGGAGAAGTGTTTTGAGTAGGTGGGAAAGTTTAAAACACAGATTGCAGTCACAAGATCATGGGCATGACACCAGGACCAGCATTGCTAAACCTTGCAGTAAACATGACATAATGGTTGACAGCCACAAGCAGCCAGGACTTCAGATTTATGCTTCATCTGAATGACAGTGCTTTGGTGAACACGGCGTCCCCCCTAGGGCAAAGGCTGGGACAGATGCAGAAGGAATGCCCTCAACTGCCAATTTTTGCTGCAGGACCTTATTTCCTATTTGAAAGTTTGCCCAGCCAGTACYGCCAAAACTGACCCCAGATTATTTTGGGGAATCTATTAAGGGAGGTATTGTAGCTTTTTGAGCCCACACAGGATGACAAATTACACCACCCCAACCAACACAGACGAGCACAACTGGCACAACGGGCTCCCACTTACCTGATTCCTAAATCCTTGCTACTCTTCAGTATCCATTCCAGGGCAGCCTCAAACTTCTTATGTGAACTAGCAGTTACATTCTGTATGGGAAAATCCATAGGATTAATTCTCCATTCATTTAMAATACAGCAATAACATTATTTCGTTACGTTAGTGGGAGAATTCATTTTATGTAGTCAGTCCCTAGGTTAACTCTTATCATAATCCTGCAAAGTGGAAGAAGAAGAAACTAAATCTGGAGGTCGGTCTGGACTAAAATCTTATGACTAYGGTGGATGATGCATGAAGCACGCTGTAAAATAACACTGTCCCTGGATTGCTAAGACTAACCACTAAATACAACATAATCTTACTGACAGTTTACCATGAAAGAAATGGAATGTTAGATCAAAGCAGTCTGTCTTCTGACACTTTGAAGTATAGAAAACTCTTTTTTCTGCCCAGCCCTCAATCCGGGGAAATTTCTGGTTTCAGAAGACTGATGACTACAGTGAAACAACAAACCATTAAGTTAGATTTATAGGGGCTGAATCAGATGTAGGAGAAGATTATTTTCAAAAGAACTGCTGAGAACAGAACTGCCCAAAGGGAAAGCAAGAGATATGGGGGGAAAAAAAATCAAAATAGGATGAGGAAGTAAAACAGATGGTGAATTGCTTCAGTATCTATTATTTATTGCATTATAAGAGACCAAGCACTACGTTATAACAATAGATGTTCAAAGCCTACTCACCATCACGTGATCCTTTGCTTCACTAACCCAAATGCATTTGCTTTTTAGATTCTCGGGATTTCCACACTCAAAATTACCTGGTAAGAAAGTCAAAGAGATAAAAAATGTTTTAGAAAATAGCCCTCAAACAGTTCAGAAATACACTTAACTGTCTGGAAATGCCATCCTTTAAAATCAGCTCCAGCTCTGGGCAAAACAACTACAAGGCAAGATTTATATTATAGGCAGATAATCTTATGACTATTAATAAAACGTTCAACCACTGCATATGAGTTGGATAAAGGCAATCAAACCTCACGCTTCAGTGCATGAGCCACTCAACGCAAGATCTGGGGGAGTGGGAGAGGAAATATTTCTTCCCCTAACCAAGGGTATAACTACCTCTCTGACTTAACATCCTGCAGAGGTAACTCTTCCATCAGGCATCAAAGACAGTAATGCTGGAGTTAAGGATCAGCATTCAAAAAATGCTACAACGGAGCCTCCTTCCCAGCCCTATATTCTATCCAGGCACGCAGATACCAGGCAGAAACTCAGGCTTCTAAATCTTGTTTCACCAAGATGACTAAACAAATGTGTTAGGAGACTACGTAAAACTGATGGCAATTTCACAGGTGCTGAAGTCTGATTTGAAAAGGTTTAGAAATTCAGTAAAATTCCGGTGCCTAAAAGACACAGCCTTCTTAATATCTGAAATCTTCTAGAATATGGAACATAAGCATTTTTAATGATTAACATTACTGTGTAGCTTATTGAAAAATAAAAATACAGTCCATTCCATCACGAAATACTAGTTATGGATTGGATTTCCATATATGTAGTAGAAAAGGGCAGAAGTACCGAGTTCAGCTAGCTCCTGAGCTAAACAAGCCTGTTATAGCTAGCAACAAAGAGAGGCACTCCTATGAGCAGTTACCATATTTTAGCAGAGAGATGGCAATTTCTGAAGTCATTCCAACTCCATTTGTAGGAGTACAGCAGTTAACACTTACTGACTCCAAGTTGTCTTGAAGACCATTTCAAGATGCAGGTAGAAAAGGACCATAAAGCTAAATATTTGTACCTCAAATTCCCAATATATGAAGAGCAAATAAGGACCACTCCAGGAGAACACAGTGATATCAGTGCATTAGCCAAGCACTATTCAGATTAAAAATAAACTCATCTTTTTTTTTTTTTTATTATTATTATTTTATTTTCCTATTACCTGACTTTTCCAGAGCTCTTCAAGTGGAACTCACTGTTCCACAAACTCCTCTCTTCAAAATAAGGTTATAAATGTCCAGACAGCTGGGACAGGCAGTTTGCTGAATGCTTTTAAGTGCTTTATAATGACAATTGGAACTCACCAGCTTGTATTGACAAGTAGTTATACAACTCGTGCAGCATGTTCATTATAATCTCCTTCTGTTGAGCTTGACAGAACTGAAAGACAGAAACAGGTAACAAACATCAATAGACCAGCAGCAACACTGCTCAGACTAGCCAAAAATAKGAAAAGAAAGTAGCAGGAGGGTTTTACTCAGTTCTGCATCACTTCACTAGTCCAAATGAAATGCTTTTGCTGCAAAGATCTGCAGTTTCCGAGTCAAGAGCTAGCTAGCACATCCTTCAGAAGTGCCACCAACTCCCACATGCCACAGCAGCCAGGACTGCACTGCCAGCAGCTGCAGGAGCAGGTCCCCTCAGACAGGCTGCGAGCTGACTTCAGAAAAATCACAAAAAAGAACCCCAGAACTCTGCATCCAAAGTTTCCCTAATAATGAATTAGAAAAAAAAAATCAGGACTGTACAACATTATAATGGAGTTCAAGGAATTAGCTGTATTAAATCGTGGGCTGTTAAGCCTGAATGCAGGTACAGTCTCTTCTGCAAAGCGGTATCAGTTATGCTACACCTATTACAGAAATGGATTTTTCAGAGCCTCAAACACAGTCCTATTTAATCTGGTTTATTAATTCTAATTCAGCAAATCAGAACCTTTTCTTAAAAATAAAAAGATGATAGAGCTAATAATTTTACAGTGATGCTGATATCAGCGGAAGCCACCTAGCATAATTACTCTTCTGAGATTTCCCTATCCACGTTATTTTAAGACAAATAAATGTACGCTTACCTCATCTGTCCTTTCGTCACAATCCACAGGCAGGAGATTAACTATGAGAAAGAAGGAGAAGGAAGAGTTAGTTGGCTGCAAAACAAGGGCTTTGATCAAGAAAGTAATTATGCGCTTAAGAAAGGGTCTACTTTGGAGCCACGTGCTATTAATCTCCCTGCACAGCACCTTGCTATGCAAATCGGGCATTCCGAGCACTCCTTTGACAGCAGCACTGAAAACAAMACACATCTAATGTGCTCTGTATCAGGGTGCAAATGAGGAACCCAAGTAAAAACTGGGGTGTGAATGCTTCCACAGCTCCTGTTTCTATACAYGTCTTGTGCTCCTGCACTATCTCCTCCGGCACACTGGAAGTTTGCAGGGATCTTTGACAGCCTAGCAGTGTCATTTTTGCAGGCCACGGTCACTTGATTTATCACTGTGATAAAGGAGATTTAAATCCACTCGAGGCAAAAGCAGAGGATCTATTTCAGCCAAAAGAGCTGTTAGTTTGGCARTTTATTGCCTTGCATTTAGTAGTGATTCCTCCCCCCAACCACTAGATATATGTATACCACCCACAGGTCTATGATACAGCACTTTCTACTAATCTTAATTACCTGAAAATTTAAAAATTTACAGCTAGACTGCAAGAYTTCTTGCTTCAAAATAACACTGGCTTATATATAGCTACCACGTTTTAACAGGTGCACCAGAAATTCACATCAGAGATACTGGCCAGTTTTGTTTTGACTTTGAGAAAACAAAAAACATCCTACTTAGACTGTGCAAATGCACAAGCACAACACTAGGTAGTGAGTTTAACAGGACTCACACCTTCCAAACCATCCCCAAACCTCTGCTTTGAGTCCAAAATCAAAGCGAGGGTATTTCTGTTTGCTCGGCTGGGAAGCTCTGTTAAACACAGGGCGATGGGAAAGCTTTTCATTTCCTTTTGAACCCTACTTGGGTACCTACAAGGTCCATCACAGTGCTTGCAGAGCTGGCCCGAAACATAGCGGGCAATTACACGGGCATTAGGTTACACAATAGGCAATCATAAAACACATCCTTAGCCTAGTGGGTGTTTCACTCTCCATAAAACCCCTGGGTTTGAAGAAGTGGAGGCCAAATTCATTAGAAAAGGAACACACCTGACTTACTTTCCACACGTAACAAGGTTTCCCTTGTTGTAAGGKGAGGGGGAAACGGGGACAGCAACAGAGATGTCAAGTTACAGCAACAAAAAAGAATAAATCTGATGGTGATGGAAGAGAGAAAGGCAAGAGCGGTACAAGGAAGGTGAGCACACAGCTTAAAAGCAGAATTAACGCGGCACACGTACAGCTCTCCTCCGTCCTGTCAAGCCAGCCCGATCCAATCATCTTCACCAAGAGGATGCCCAGGAAGATCATGAGCAGCACGAAGCTGGCCAGGCAGAGGAACTGCGAGAGGTAGAACTCGAGGCCTCTGCCCTTTCCTTCGAGGCGCGGCCTGGGCGCCGAGCGCCACAGCGGAGGCCGCGCCGTGACTCCCTGTGCCGCCGCTCCCCAGCGGGAAGCCGAGGCCGTGCCCGCATCGCCCGCTGTCCTCCACGGGAACCGACGCATCAAGCCCGCTCCCCGGGCGCCGGGGTTCAGCTCCCTTTCRGCCTCCTTGCGCTCGCTGGAGGCCAGGTCTCCTTCCCCTCTCCCGTATCGGGGCTGGTGGCCGAACCCCCCGAGCGTGGCTGAGCTGGCCCAGTTGGAGCCGGGCGCCACGTCGCTTTCCCGCCACCATGAGCTGCCGGAGGAAAATCCCCTCCTTTCCTCCGGGGCCTCCCAGGAGGCGCGGGAGCCGAGGCTGCCGGCGCCGCCTGCCCAGGGGCTCCTGGAGAGSAGCGCGGCGCTGCCCTCCGCAGAGGCAGCCCTGCCGCCCAGCTCCCTGCTCCTGCCCGGGGACGAGCCCCAGGGCGAGGGGGAGCTCAGCGCGCCGAGCCCATCCGAGGGGGACCCCAGGCCGGCCCYGAGGCCCAGCCCGCCGCCCCGCTCCACGGACGTGTCCCAGCGCGACGGGGAGCCGTCGAGCGGCGGCCGCGCGCTCAGCCCCTCGCTCCTCTCTGCCGACAGGCCCCAGCGCGGCGGGGAGTCCCCCAGGGCGTCCAGCGCCGGCCGGGAGCCCACGCCGAGGCCGCCGCTCCTCTCCACGGACGCGTCCCAGTGGGACGTGGCGCTCGGCGCCCTGAACCCGTCCGCGGGGGCCCCGCCGAGGCCGCCGCCCCGCTCCGAGCCCCAGCGCGGCGAGGGGCCCGCGAAGGCGTCGAGTGCCGCAGCCGGGCCCCGGCGGGACGGCGAGCCCAGCGCGCCGCCGGCCGCCCCCCAGCGGGACGCAGCCGGCCGCCCTGCCGGGGAGCCGCCTTCATCCTCCTCCTCCTCCTCGTCGTCGTTGTCGCTGTCGCCGCGGAAGGCGGGCCGCGGCGAGGCCTGCTGCGGCCTGCCGGCGGAGCGGCCCGGGCTGCTCGGGGCACCGCGGCCGCTGCGCTTGGCTGCCGCCGCCTCGGCGCGCAGGGAGTTGAGCTTCTTGGCGTAGACCTTGCGCGTGGTGTCCGTGATGGGCCCCGCGCGGTAGCCGAGCGCCAGCAGCTCCCGCCGCAGCTCCGCGTCCGTCAGCTCCGCCATGGCCGCGGCCCGCGCGACAGGGCCCGGCCGGAAGCGCCCCGCGAGCGGGGAAGCGCGGCCGCCATCTTGGGAAGGGCTCGCGGCCCCTCTAGGGCAGCCATGTTGGGAAGGGAGAGCGCGGGGCTTATGTTGGTTGGGCCGGCGGGGGCGGGAGTTGGCGCCATGTTGGGAAGGTCGAGAAAAGGCCTCTCTATATTTCGTGAGGCCGGGCTCGCTGGTTCCGCCATGTTGGGGAGGTCAGTCCTCCCCCTTCTCCCACTCCCCGAAAGGGAATAGTACCTGAAGGCAGCTGCAGGGGGGCCAGGATGAAGGATAAGGGAGAAATGGAGGCGGCAAAAGCAACCTCCACCTCTGGGAGTAGCTAGTTCTGCCCCCTCCTTGCCTTGGAGCAGCCCTGCTTGTGCAAGGGCCTGGAGCAAGCAAGGAGGGTASCGCTGGTGGCCCTCACTTACACCAGTCTGTGCCCATTTTGACACATATAGGGACATGTGTGAGGAGAAAAGAGTGTCTTTCCCAGCCACCTGCCGCCTTGCGATGCACACTTTCCTTCTACCTCCTTCTCTGCCAAGCTACAGCTGTAGCTGGCGCCAGGCGAAGGAGCTGGAGCGTTGCCACCGCTTCCGGCGGGATCGGGATCTGGGTCCTGGGGACATTTGCTGGGGAAGGAGGTTCCTTCCATATCTGCAGTTTGAAAAACCAAAAAATCAAGTGTCGGCTTGAAAATTTATTTTGGCAAGGCTGTGATGTACGGTAATTGCTTTCTTTTCCCTGCTTCCGCCCATAAAGAAAGTAATGAAAGTGGCTGAAATGCTGTGGCGGAATATTGGAATTTAATTAAGGATAATGAAAAGGTTGTGACGAATGCGCACAGAGCGTCTCGGCAGCTTGGTTCTTACGAGAGACGCGCGATACCAGAGCCATAGGGACTGCACAGCCTCTCCCCAAGYTCCCACGGAGCAAGACGTGCCGCGCGTGGGAGCTGGGAACAGCTCCGTGAACTGCTCTCATGGACACCCCAAGGCTTGTCCCCAGGCTCTGCCACCCWGGCGCCCTTATAAGATGAGAGCAGAGCTCATAAGGGTGAGAAATTCGTCTGGCTTCCACTGGGTGCAGCTGCAGGGGCAGAGCTCGGGAGCCTCCGCGGAGCCGTGTCATCCGATTAGACGCTGCCTCTTGTACGGCCTCATCAACGAGCTCCTCTTTGATTTTAGTGGATGCATTAAATACAAAGCGAGTCAGGCCCTCCTTTCACGCTCGCTTTGCTGTCGTGCCCTTCTTCTAATTCAGGACATCAGACAAAACTCTCCTTGCTCTTCCTGATTTATGCAAGAAAGCAACAACAAAATACACTGAGATTTGTTAATCTGGTTAGCAACAACAAATATACACTTAGCAGAGGCCAGGGAGCCTATTAAAAGAGCATGCTTGGTTCCGATGGGAAGCGCGAGCGTGCTAAGTTGAGCCTCCCCTGCTCACTAACTGGAAACTGCGACTGACAGCTAATAATTTGGAGTGGTGTCTAATGTAAATASAGAATTAGAATATGCTCTGAGTACACAGTTGCTGTAAGCTCCCAGCTTTGAGACAGTTTGGAGGAACTCTGCCTAGACGTGCAGATGCATGCTGGCATCCAAGCCTGAGCTGATATAAGCTCCTGAATTAAGTGACTCCCTCTTGGTTTGGAGGAAAAACAAAACGAAACAATACAAACAGAGAACCCTGCAGCTTCTTGCATTTCTGGACACCAGGGAAGTTATACCAGCATAGAGCTTGACCCAGCATTGCTGTTAGATGACCTTCTGAAATGGAAAGGAGAACCTGGCAGTGGTGGTGGAGAACTAGAGGGCTGGGGAAAAGCTTTGATTGCAGAAGATTTGCAGAATGGAGGCTGGTGGTGCTGACCTTCCACAGGAACAGATGACCCTTCTTTGTAGAGAGAAACCAGCTCCCCCTCTCCCTTTGTTCCTCGCAAGACAACCCTCCGGGAACATCCCTACCATTCATGGAGCTACCTAGACATCACAGAGATGATCAGAGCCCTCTGTTTCAGAGGTGACAGAGCCCTATGGACCAGCACTTGATTTTTCCTGTTTCGCTGCCCACAGTGCTGGCGCTGAGCCCAACGCCGGTGTTTCTGGGGTGCTCTAGACACTGCTCTGTGCAGCCCCTCGGTTGTCCACGCGGCTCTGGGCGGTGGGGCAGGCTGCCGAGGGCGAGCGCAGGACTGGGAATGCTCTGCTGATGCACACGGGCTGTGATGTTCAGAGATGGCTCCTTGTGGAAAGCCGCTTCCCAGGGCGCTGGGCAGCTCTGCAACATCTTGGCTGCAAATATCCTAAGCTGGAAGCGGGAAGATGGGACAGCAAGGAGGGGACAGCCTCCACTTTTCCTGCCTTCCTAGCAGCTGCCTTGGACTTGCTGGCAGTGACTCAGTGGCAGCATGGGAAGAGGAGGAGTGCGGTGCCTTCTGCGGCTCCTCCYGGAGCGCGGAGCAGCCTGGTGTAAGCAGAGGGCTGGACTAGATCTCCACTGTCTTCACAAGGCCCCAGGAGAGGAAAGCAGCCCCCCAAAACAGAGCAGAGAATGAGCCGTCACCCCCGTGACCCAGAGGATGCCGGAAAAATCGCAAGCGCGGCCCTCCCCCGCCTTTTATCCCATGGCGTTGGGATGGCAGACCTGCATATGTCACCAGGGAAAGTGTCGACTCTTCCTTGGGCGCTGAGGGTGCCAATTCAAGAGCCTGTCACTCTGAGCCGCAGCACAGGTGTGACCCAGGAGCCTCCGCGTCCTGCCGATCGCATGCCGTGTCCTCAGCCTGCCTCGCTTCTCGTTACGTGAGCTGCTGAGCAAAGTTACACTCTCATTCGTTCTTTTCTTGCTTCCTGCTCATTTCTCTGCCTGTTTCRCCCTGCGGTTCCCTCGTTCATCTGCCCGCAAAGCCCTGCAGAGGGAGGATGACTGAGATCAGTATCTGTCTTCATTCCCGTCGCTCCGGCCCACTGAGTTTAGAAGGAATTTGCTTCCAAAAGCCAATGGTTTAGCGGCCCGTTTGGACAGCACAGCTCTGGCTACAGGTTCATATGACCTCATTTATAGCTGGGTCAACTGGAAAGAGCCACTGACACGTCTGAGGGCCAGGGTAAAATCAGACCTTTGCTCTGGTCCAGAAATAGCAGTTCGCCCTGCTCTAAAGGTACTAGCAGAGGGAAGACCACCCAGCAAAGTCACATTTATGGATCTCCTCTGTGGAGCTCTCCACAGCAGTAGCCTGACCATCAGCCCGGTGGGAACTGATCCAGGAAGGAAATTCCAGATGCTCATATTCACTTTCTTATTTACTGTCACCGGGCAATGTTCGTTCCCAGCCGCCACAGGGGTCCTGTCAGCTGGGGAAATCCCTTCAGCGACAGAGCGGGGCGAAAGAGGGCAACGGAGGGAAAGCTCTGACGTGGGGTAGAGGGTTTTTAGGAGTTTGCCCTTCAAGGAGAAACTGTCCTTGTTTTCCTGTGGCAGGAAATCCAGGATGAGGGTTTGGATCTGTCAGAATTAATGAGCCAAGAGCTCCTCTTTGCTGCAATCMGCCGGGGCTCTGATCTTGCTGGACGGTATCATAAATGGGGCACCACTCCCGTGATTTCCTAGCCTCATCTCCTGTGGGTATCACTCATCACGCCTCCGCTGGAGCCTGCTTTGCACTGGCTGAGCTTCGAGCCCTGCAAACCTTCATTTTCAGYCTAATGGCATGTGCTATTTTCTGTCTTCCCCCTGCTCACCCTAGTGAATTCATAGCCCAAACTGCCTTGGCACTAATCCCTGCAAMCTTGCAGTTACATGGAGCCGACCCGGCCGTGCAGGAGGGACAGGCCTTTGAATCGTATGTTGAAGCTGGAACCCCCTCCGTGCTGGATGTTGCATTATACATTGGCAGCTTGCTTTGCTCCTGCGGGATGGCTTTGAGCAGAGGAGCTAGGAGCCCATATGTGCTGTTCTAGCACCAACACAGCTATTTAAGTGAGCCACAGYGAGAACAGATTTATGTTGAGGTGAGGGGGATAGAATTGGATTGGAATCGGCTACACTCACATACAYACCCTTGGTCTCGGGGCCCTTGCTTTACATATGTTAGATTTCCTGCTGCCAATAGAGAAGATCAGTTCTAAAGTAAGCCTAAGGTTTAGATGGAGAGCAATATGTTCAAGTGGGATTACGATGTCACATCGAGGGACAGTAATAAGGCTGGACCTCTGTTGTTTCACACCCTGTTCACATCATAGCTATCCCCTGTGGCGTTATTTAGATTGATATAGTATGTGTGAGCAAGACGGGGTTAAAAATACAGCTAGGAAGTGCAGATGAGGACAGTGGGTTCTCCCAGCAGTGCGGGAAGGGGAGGGAGCCAAGGGGGAGAGCCTGGTCCAACACCCACRCCCCTCTTGATGCCTTCGTGCCACCAGTTTGCCTGGGTGATCCTAGAGAATCTTGGTCTCAGTTTCGCTCTTTGCCAAAAGCAGGGACTAAACCTCATTAGTCCATGAAGATTAGTTACTCAAGCAGCGCAATGTGCATTCACTTCTCAGAAAAGCGATATTCTCTAGAACTGGAAACCCTGCCTCTCCTTTTCCACACTTGCTGCTTGCCATCTGGCTGAGAAGCATGCTAGAAAAAAGACACAAATCCTCCCTTTAATTATACTGCGCATTTTATTATCTCACCTCAGATTTTGCTGTTAATCTCTTTTACAGATTTCATTTACATAAGTGGAGGCCTTTAACTTCAGCAAGCTGCACAGCTTTTTCTTCTGATTCTGCAGATATCAGTAAGCTAAAAAGAAAAGAAGAAAGCGCAAGTGTCCTTAGATTTGTCATTCAGTCTTTGCTAGGCTTTATATACTGTTTCCTCCTCCTCAACTCTTCACCTAAAAATCCATAAGACAAATTAACACAGCCAAAGCGGAGTAACAACTCCCGCAGGAATGAGAGAGACCCTCCTATTAGAGACATTTAAGCCCAGATAAGACATAGCTCCAGGGATAAGTGATAAGCATACCATCACAACCCCAAGTCTRTGGGCAGGAGTAACTATAGAATCCTGCTCTTGTGTTTCTCCTTTTGCAATTCCCATGGAATCTGATCAAAGCCCAGAGCAAATTTGTTAGCACTTGACACTTCAAAATGCAGCGGCTTCTCTTAGTTTCAAGCCCTAGTCTAAGGAGGAAGGTGTTCAGAACTGCTCGGCACCCAACATCATCATCGGATCCAACCCGAGGGCCGGTGCTGGGCTGCCCTGCAGGTCTAGCTTGGATTATGAACTCTCTTGGAAATTGCACCCTGAAGCCTGAGGTCTTTTGTGGCAGGAGGAGGAGGAGGGAAGTGGGAAGCAGTGCTAAGGAGAGCTGCTGAAAACTCAGTATCTACTCGAACTCAGTATCTACTCGAACTACTAGAACTCAGTATCAGCTCGAGGGCGCACGCAGGGCCCCTGAAGACAGTATAACCTTCCCAGAAAAGTGCATGCATGAGAGGGGGCAGGGGTATCCAAGGCCTCTGCAAAGTGAGCAAACATGACACAAAAGCCCTTCTGAGGAATATAAATATCTCCACGATGATGAGCTGGTGAGAGAAAGGAGAGGCAGAATTCCCCAGGCAGAATTCAAGCTCCTGACAGTACCGTCTGGGGTGTCCTGTAACATCTCTGCTAGCAGTTTCTCCAGGACATCTTGGTATTTTTCCAGCTGCCTCGAGGTGAGCCGCATCCCAGCTTTGGCAGGAATAGCTAACTGTGGAGGAAAGCGGAAAAAGTCACTGGGAAAAGCTGAGGGGAAGAGAAGCAGGTGGCTTGGGGGCAGCCACGCTTTGATTCCACTTTGCTGAAGCTCTTAGGGGGTCCTGCACTGGTTTGAAGGAAAGATGACAACCCTGAGCGTGGGGAATAGCAGCATTTTTGAGGCAGCCCCTTGTAGTGTCAATCTTGTGCTGTTCACAGTGCCGCTTTTCACGCGTATGGGCTGACTCAGAAACACAGATAAAGGCACCCGCTGGTAACAGACCTTAAACGAGAGAGTCATTTCTGAACCGTGTAATCCCCCACCCTCTCCTACCTTCACCCTCTGAGCTATCGCCCTTCCTGCTGCTGATAAAATATCCTGCATTGCTAAAGACTGAGGATAAGACACTGTCCTGCCAACAGCCTGACCAATTTCAGGCCAGATGCAGCTCAGAGGTACCCAAAGTGAAGTTATTCTGGGCATGGCTGGAGGCACAGGGTGGCTTGTGGTCGTAGCGACAGGTTAGACCCTGGGATGCATCTCGTTTGATGCATAGAGCTGCTTAAATCCTATTATTGATTGTTGGTGTACCACGTTTGTGAGAGCAGCTGCCTATTAACCTACGTTTTGGCCTAATTCCGGTCTAGCTAAATCACAGTGCCTGTCCCGCTGGGCCCCTCCTGCAGTTTGGGCTGGACCCACATGCTCCTCTTGATGGGACACAGAGGCTGTGCTCGCCGCAGAAGTGGCTGCATTGACAGCTCGAGACCAGAAAAACACTGTTTTCAGACTCGACTGGTCAGGTAAGTGCGCCTTTGAGAGCTTAGACTGGCACTTAAATCCTTAAAATTGAGAATTTTCTGCTCTATATACAGGCTTTGGGGCTGTGGGTGTTTGCGCTCAGGTTTTTAAATAAGGTCTTCCCAGTGCAGAGCATTGTGAGGGGAGTGAGTGGTGCTGGACAACTGATGCCAGAGCTGGGCAGAAAGGTGACAAGTCAAAACCTGACCTGAAGCACAGCTGCAAATTACTGACTTACATTTGGCTGATGATTACTGAGTGGYCAATGGAAAACCATACATTGCTTTCATGTCTCCTGTGCTAAGAGAGAGGCCAAGTGGGTCTGAAGGGTGACCAGGCTTAATTATCTTGTAAACACACAAGATAAATTTAAGGGCTGAAGTTATCCCTTTCTCTGGTGCAACTTCACTCAGTTCCCTGGCAGAGCTGGTAGGAAATGGGTGTTGTTCCTTCCCATTGCCTCGGAGCTCCCTACTAGCAYCCACTCTCTTCTCACATGGCACCATCAGCCGCGTATCGGTAGCCACGTCCTGCGAGACAGCTCTGGAGCAACTTGGCTCCGTGCGTCCCTGCGGATTCCTTAGAGCTCCAAGGCTTCCCTTACCTGGAGGGTCTTGACGTCTTCTGCTCTGGGCTGCTTGGAGGAGCCTTCCTCTTCCAGATGCTGCATCAAGGTCAGGGATTTCTTCTGCCCCTTGTTCCTCTCCTCRTGCTGGAACCCCCCAGGAAAGAGCAGAGAGACGGTACCAGTATCGTGATGGTACCAAACCCGCTCTGTGTCAGATCCAGGGAGTGATGTCCTGTGGGCAGGGACCTGCAGAGCTGGGTGCAGCGTGTTGGGATCCCTAACTGCTGCGTGGAGCCRGTGCAGCATCATTCCCTGCGCCCCTGAGCTGCAGATCACTGGAGGAGCCCATGGACCATGGTCAGCTTGGCCTTGGGGGCTGCATTGCAAGTGCTGCCATGGTGGGTGCAAGGTCAGGCTGCAGGCAACAATCTTTGGCAAACTCCTTGATGACTCCTGATCTTTGCCGGACAGCACTATCAGCAACATAGTGACCTTATGGAGCTATTCCAGCCCCAAGAGAAAAGCTGGATGTGGGAACAACAGAGGACATCAAGGGGTGCACAACCCCACGGAGGCCGTGCTCRGTGCCCTACTGCTGGCTGGACTCTCCCTGCACTTGGAACAAATGCTCAGGGCAGGAGAGGCAGCCTTTGAGGAAGCCACAGCTGCTTCCACCCACATGCACCTGGAAGGCTCTCAGTCACGCAGCTACCGASGCTGTGGTGTACAAACAACACGAGGACTGTGTTTAACCTCCTCTCAAGGAGGTTCAAGGACGACCGTGCTCCTCGCAAGAAGCAATTGCCCAGCAGTGAGCGGATGGGCTTTGGAAACAAGATTTCTCACGGGTATTGATGGATTGCATCGCGCAGGGGAAGCCCCCTGTTTAAGGAGAAGATGCCAGTCTCCGAGGCTGCCTGCCTGGCACCTTTCGACAGTATTAGTTTTACATCAAAAGAAAAAACATCCTCCTCTCTGCACATCCCAGAGGTGACAACCATCTGGAGGATGGTTAATTATTTGTTACAACAAAAAGACCCAGCCAAACGGTGAAGGGAGGCTGCAAATTCAATTTAAAAAATACAGCCACTGACGTGGAGGAAAGATAAAACAAGAGGCAGCATCTGCAGATAACCCATGCAGGGCTTTCAATTCTTATTTAAAGGGTTTGAGCTCTTTTTCCACTCTCACATCTTGAAGATTTTCTCTCCCTTAGCTTTGGGATGAGCAGGGGACTGCCAATATTACAGTATCTTCTGTTTGGGCAGAAGGGAGAGCTGATGGGAACAAGAGGGCCCAACTTGCACCGGCAAAACCTGGCAGGGAGGATGGCAGCRGCACCTTTGCTGCCTTCCCCGGGGCTCCAGCCAGCGCGGTGCCTTTCTTACGGGTTACCTGCATTCTCCATGGGTTGCTCTGGGTGAAGAAGGGCAGGAAACTTTCAGTCTGCTCAGCCAGCACAGCCACCACGTACACCACGAGCAAAGGAGCCAGCGCTTTCTTTGAGACCATTGTGAAAGCCTGAACAACACAGCAAAAGGGAGACTGGGCTGATAATGAAGAAGGCTATTAGAGAAATCACGTTGGCTTTTGATCGGCTGCCATCTAATTTAGCCAGCAGCTAACTGTAGGTATATTTACTCTTCCAGTTGCTCCTGAGCTGAGAATAGAAGTGCCTTGACTGTCAATTCTCTCAAACCACTTCTTGTAAACAGATTTGTTCTTGAGCAACAACCCCAGAGACTCGAAGCCCAACCCATCCAGTAACTGTAAAAATTCACTTCGCTGAGAGCTTTTCTCCCTGGCCCAACAGCCCCACACACACAGGAGCAGGGAGAGCAAAACCCTTCACAGGGCTGCTCTGCTAAATTTTGTTTTTATAAACAAAAATCTACATTAGTGGACCAAATCATTTAATAACCCTCATGGGGTCCGAGTGAGCCGAGAACGGCACTTGCCAGCCCCGCTCCATAGAAGTCTGGTAGAAAGGGCTCTAAAAACTAGCTTGTGAAGTGATTTAACAGTGGCTTTACATCAGGAACGGACTTATGTAAACATTAAATGCTCTCCTTAAATATTAAAATATTCTCTCTGGATGAATTTAATGAAGTCAGGTCCCACAACTTAACTACTCTACCTGGTTGCAGCCTGATCCTTAATTAGTTTCAAAAAAGCTTGTGCTTTGGACATTATGAGGGAGACATTGTTAGGTCAAATTTGACCCCTAAATTAGATTTCCTATAAATATCAGCTAGTATTGAACTGAAAGCCAGTGGAAGTTAATAAGCACTCCCCTTGCCAGTGAGATCCCTCAGCAAAATGTCAGATGGAGAGAAGTCTGACAGCGAGCGAAGGCGGCTGGAGCCTCCCGGCCTCGCGGTGCTGCTGCGGTCTGCCCGGGGCCACCCGCTGCCCCTYGCGTGGGCTCAAAGCCCTTTATTGCCCTGGGACGTGGCAGGGTGCCCCGTTTGCTGCTGCGCTCGCCCGGCCTCCTCGGGCTCTCCCTTCCTCGGCGCGTTTCGGGATGCACCCGCGCTCCTAATGGAGCATTATCTCGGTAGCATCAATCTCCGGTGCCGTTTCATTTATTCTAGCACTGCAGTAAAATTCTGCCGTGTACAGCAAAATAAACCCGCTCACCTCCTCCATCTCTTATTGACTAGCCCTTGGTGAATTAGTCCTCTCCCTCTTCCTGCAGAGAAACACCCCCACGCATTTCCAGTCGGAGGCTGCCTCTTCTGAATGTCCCTTCTGTATTTTGTAAGCAGGACGTGTCTTTCAGGCCCGAGAACAGCAGCTCGTTGCCTCTCCAGGCAGACATGCACCTCGTCGCTAGCACCTTGGCTTCCCAGCTACGAAAGGAAAGCGCAAAGCAGGAGCATCCCAAGCTAAGCATCAGCGCAACAAAGTGCTGCGGTCGCAGGAGGCTGGGTGCAGCGCTCCCCAGCTCTGCTTATGCCARCAGAAAACAGGGGTAGAGCCCCAGTTTGGAGGTGTGGGCATCTACTGGTGCGAGGACAACGGGAACAGAGCCTTCATCTGCTGAGCTCTGCCTTCCGAAAGCCACGTTGCTCCCGTCAACAGGAGGTGTGACCTGTTTTCTCCATGTTCAAAGCAGCTCCCCAAGTGCGGAGGACACGCAGGGCTGCCTGTGTCTGCTAGGGGCTCAGAGCAAGCAGGGAACGGGTGGAAGCAGCGCTCCCATTCCAGGGAAGAGCAGAACGCACCGTTGGCCTTCCTTCCTTAAGCACTGATTTTCCTTCCTTCTTATCAGACAAGCTCCTGCTGAACAGAAAGGAYTGTGCGGTGGTAACAGCAGCTCTGCCCATGCCTAGACAATGTGGGGTGAGTGAGCATGAGAGAGAAGGGGATTAGGGAAACGGGGCCCTTCCAGGGCCATTTTTGAACCCTTCCCAAGGAAAAGTTTTCTACTTTGCTCAGCAGAAATTTTTGGTTGAATCATGTTTCCTCCTTTTTCCCTGCAGAAAATTTTGAAAGCCATAGGGAGAAACCTCCTGAGCTCCAGGACCGAGCTGCCACCAGTGTCCTACGGAGCTCCCAGGAGGAAGCAGAAACCCGGCACCTACCTGGCGAGCATGTCCCTGGGGTGCTGATGGTCAGGGCTCTGGTTMCTCTTCACACCCTGAGGCTCCTGCTGGGTTTCCCAGCCCTTTATATACCTGCTTTCCTGCACTGGTACCCTCCCTTCCAGGAGGGCTGACGAACCTGCAGCACGTGGAAACRGGCTTGCCATCCAAGCAGCACTCTTATCCACCCTGGATCTTTAAGAGTTTCTGGTTTCCAGGATGATCCTGCCCTCTCCCAGGTTTCTGTCCTCAGGCTAGCAGCAGGTCACAGTGGTGCCCACTAAACCTAAAGCAAATCTCTCCCTGTCTCAGTTTCCCTGTCTTTATAGGGGAGAAAATTCCTCTCTCCCAACTCGTCTGTTGAGATCATGAGCCCTGGGGGTAAGGTCTTTATGCTGGGAATGTATCAGCAGTGAAATGAGGCCTGGGTGTTGAATCTATTTCTGCTGTAATATGAACAAATCATGATAATAACAATGATGCCACCGAAATAAACATAATGCAGAATGAAGTTTGACCCACTGGCATTGCAAAAGCATTGATTTAAGGTAATAAATCCCTGGCTGTATCAAGAGCAAGATATTAAAATAATAAATAAAACTGTACATGCCAAATCTAGCCCCAAAGAGCTTTATAAACTGAACAGACAAGCAAGGAGATGACTGGCCAGTCTGGGGGATTTGTCTGTTTATTCAGGGTCCTYAGATGGCCCCCAATACCATAATAACTGAGCAGCTCTCACTCCTGGCCCCTCCGATCCCCCTCAGGGGCCCAGAAGGTCTGGGACAAGGCCAGAGATGTCCTATTGCTTCTCATCAGCTCGGCAGCTGCGTGCGAGCAAACCTGAGAGCAACCGGCCGACAGCAGGCGGGAAGCAGGAGGAAAAGCGAGCTGGGCAGGATGGAAACGCGGTTGCACCGAGCGGCTCCACGCGGTCCGGAGCAGCATTCCTGCTAAACACCGGCAGGATGTGCCGGGGACGAGAGGAAGGTGCCTTTCCCTGGCTCCATCGCAGCGAGTTGATAAGATGTGCACACACTGCACAGCCCGTGCACGCACTGCACAGCCCATGTACACACTGCACAGCCCGTGCACACACTGCACAACCCATGCATGCACTGCACAGCCCGTGCACACACTGCACAGCCCATGCACGCACTGCACAGCCCGTGCACACACTGCACAGCCCATGCATGCACTGCACAGCCCGTGCACACACTGCACAGCCCACTCTCACACTGCACAGCCCGTGCACACACTGCACAGCCCATATACACACTGCACAACCCGTGCACACACTGCACAACCCATGTACGCACTGCACAGCCTGTGCACACACTGCACAGCCCATGTATGCATTGCACAGCCCGTGCACACACTGCACAGCCCACTCGCACACTGCACAGCCCATGTACACACTGCACAGCCCGCGCACACACTACACAGCCCATGTACGCACTGCTCAGCCCATGTACGCACTGCACAGCCCATGTAC